TGATTCAGATTTGGGCTCCATATCGCTGCATCTGAGTTCTTTTTTATGACCTATTGGGTAGAGCTTTACTATTTTTCTCCTGGTTAATAACGAACTCAAGATTTGTGAATGAATTTGAATCTGCAAGTCACTCCCTCTCAACTCAGAATTCACTTTCTGTTGTGGGTGTTTAATCTGGCATTTGGGCAATAGGTTTAGGAAGGCTAACTTTCATGGTGATGTTTCTATATTTTGGAAATGTTCAGTTCAGATTTTCATTAAAAAATGCAGTCTTGCTTGCGCTGGTTCAGATGTACTGATTTCCTTGTTTGTTGCCGTCATTTTGTTGGTTCTTTCACTTCTGTTTTGCAGTCTTTTGCATCTTGTAATGGTTTAGTGTACGGGTTTGGTCTGTTTTCTTTGGTTACGTGGTTGGGAACTTTTGTTGTTTTTGGCTCATGATGATATCACTGTTGGTTCCATCAGAAGCTCATTTCATTTTCCTTGCCTTGCGATTTCCATGTTATTGTCCTTTGTGTGGTTTTTCAATGGCTGAGGATGTTCATTAGAATGGGTTACGGTTTTAAATGTATCTCAATTGATGAGTTTACTGGTTCTAGTTTGAGATGGCATGAGACATCTGGGTTGAATGAGCTGAAAAATTGCAGAAGATGAACCCAGCAGATTGTAGTCTTTTAGATTCATATGTTCTCGGCTATTGTGTGGTTTCTTCTAACAAGGATGAATTTATGTTTATATGAGTGATGAAGTTTAAGGGTTTTGGGAATAAATGTGCTGGTTTTGGCTTGGAACTTTGTGAGTGTTGCTTGAATAAGCTTAAAAATGGCGGATGGAAAGGTTGTAAAACCCAATGAAGAAGATGAAGCCTCGTAACATGCATGAAATAATTCTGATTTTACACTTTAACCCCAAAATTCCCATCTAATGCTTTTAAAGCCTAAAATTGGGAAAAATCAATCAGATTGGCCCCTTTGGCTTCTTTAATCTTTCAATTGGGTCCTTGTTTATCTTAATTGGTTAAATATGAGTAGTTTACTTTCCTTGGAATGCTTTGAGTGATTCAATTTCGTGTGATTATTCGTTAATTAAAGTGGTATCTTGACATTTTTATTGTTTTGGAGGGTAAATAAGTAATTTCGCTCCATTAGGGCCCCAACTCAAGGGAGGTATCCTCTATCTCCTTGATTTTATTTCTCCTACGTGCTCCTACATGTTTTCGTGTGAATATGCATGCTTTAATTCGCTTTTCATTATATTAGTGTTCAATTGCCTGTTTCGCTGTCTTTTATTTCGCCTTCTTTAATTGGCAAGTCATTTGAGGGCATTTGAACCCCAATTTGTAATACCTAAGTTTCGGCGCCTCTCTTGAAGACATGTCTTAGCTAGCCAATGTAATAGTTAGGATTTACTTTTCTAATTCTTTCCCCTTTTAGATTGTAGTAGGCATCCCTTTTGTAATAGATAGGGCTTGTGTGCTATGTGTTTGTGTGCGCCTATATGCCTATATATTTAATCGCTTTTCCTAGGATTCTGCATCTAGATAAGCTTGCTTATGTGTTACGTGCTATGTGAAACTATGTGTTTTGCATGTCTATTTGCTTTTAATATTATATCTAATTATATGGATGGAACGTACGTTACCGTGGCTAGTCCAATGCTAGTCATGGTCTTCCCTTCGAGCTCTTACAAATCCAATGCTTATGAGAGAACGTTAGTTAAGGGCTAGTCGAACGCTAGACCTTTAGGAACCATCCGCACGTTAGATCATGATTGTGTGATAAAATCACTTCATCTCATGCATATTTTCACTTTTTAGGGTCTTTTATCATTTTTTGCATGATATCCCTCCTTATACGTATATCTCTTCCCCCATATTTTCCCTTATATGTATATTACTTACCCCTTTGCATGAAACATGACATTAGATTTGCATGTCATTTAGGGAAAAATTAGAAACTAGATTAGATCATTTGCTTGTTTAGGTAGGAAAACCCTTTGAGTATGGGATATGGACGAGTTTGGCTTTCTAGCCTTAGCACGCTCATATTTCCTCTATTAAAGGAAAAATTGAGTCATGAACATTAGTTCCCCGTACCCGACATGATGCATTCCTTTAAAACATGTATATTTGTATAATTATGATTATTTTTATTTTCTTTCCCTTTTCTTAAAGTCTCATGTTTTTGCATTATTCGTGACTTCTTCGAAGAGTCTTTATTGGGCGTCACAATTAATGTGATTGGTACCAAGTAAACTTTGAAGAGATATTTCAACCCCCCGACACCCTCTTAGGTCTACGGTTTGCATTCATATAGTACATCAAAATGTGATAAATCTTTAGATTAAAAATAAGAAAATCTTTGACTAAATCACGCAACTAGCCTTGGCTAGGTCGAAAGGGTGCCTTGGATTTTTATCCTTGCCTTCCCTTTCTTCAAATGTGACTCCTGAATATTTTTCTCTGATTTTCGTAGACTTGGAGTCGTTTAAAAAGGGTTTTATACTTTTTTTAAAAAAAAATTCATTTTTAGGTGACTTGGTACACCTCAACTCAATACCAAGTGGCGACTCCATTTTCCATTCAAAAAACCCTTTTTAAACTATATTTTGGGAAATTGAATAAAAAGTCATTTTTCTAAACTCGTCTTTTATTTTTCTCATTAAAAAAAATGGGGCGCGACAGTTGGCGACTCCACTGGGGACTAAGAGAGTCCGAGCAAATTTGATATAGTCAATCTTTTTCTTCTTTTAACCTTTTCATATATCGCATTTGGATGTTTAGGGTTACATTTTTTTTTCTTTTTAGGATTTTTGCATTTTGCGCGTATCAACTCACTCCCTCACCTATTTACGTACGATTTGATTTGATGGATGGATGGTTTATTTATGTGATTCCGTGCTGTGCATTGCATTTGGGTGGGGGATATTACCCTAGAGCCTCGCGTTGGTTCTCGATCTCTCCCCTCCAAACGAGCACTAGCATATGTGCATACGTTTTATTTTTTTATCCCTCATTTATTTTTCTTTTAGTGGCTTGTCACGCTGCTCCTCCCTATTAGGATTAGGCGACCCACTTGGACGTGTGATCGCGACATGACGTGTGTGTAGCATGATCCGAGGGGTCACTCAATCTTCCGCTTTAAGCTTTGGGTTAATAGCCTTTAACTTTTAGTCGAAGGTTGAGGGTTTTTGATAGATTCACTCAGACATGTAGCCGTGACACGACGTGTGCGCAGCAGTGTCTGGGGAATCGTTCGAGCCACCGACAAAGAACCTTGGGATTGATGACCTTTGGTTTCTAAGTCTGAAGGCTCGGGGACCTAAAACTTATCAAGTTTAGATACATTAGTGAGCCCCATACCTCATGCATCTATGATAGTTTACCTAGGGTAGAGTCTGCCTTACCCTATTAGGGACACCATTCACGAGGGGAGGGATCCAACCCCCCTATTCCTTTTATTGGTTTATCTCTTTGTATTGCTTTGCTATAAATATGTTATGTGTATTTGTCTGATTGAACTAACTTTTTTGGTTTTTGTCTCCATTGCACTCATAAGCCTAGAAAATAAGAGTCCTGGCATGGTACTTTCTAGGAACCCACCCTATTTGATGTGATACGTTTAAATTCAATGTTTTGCATTTGCACCATGAATCTATTTCATTTTAGGCTCACCTCGGCGTACAAAAATGGGTTCCTTTAGGTCACGTTTCATTTGTGTACTGCATATTTAGCCGCTTTGATAAAATGGCATCATGTATAAACCCTAAAAAGGGACCGCCGCTTAGGGAATCCCGTTTTAGGAATAAAGCCAACCTTTCTTTTTTCCCCCGTAGGTATTTAACCCTTCAAGGGACTGCACATTTAAGTTATCGCTTAACTAGAAAAGTGGGACCTGTAGGTAAGGTACTTGACACAGGCTTTTTGTTTCTAGATGGAAAGTCCTCGCTGAGTCCAACAGATGTTAGTAGTACCGTTTGAGGTACAAAGATGGCCCACGTTACTTTCACCCAGTGAGATTAACCAAGTAGTCACTCGATTAGGACACATCGGGGATTTCAAGGACATTACGTCCGATGGCTATTTGGTAGAAGGTTTGGTGCATCTATGGGACCCCACTTGTTCCGCTTTTAGACTAGGAAAAAGGGAAATGACCATAACAGTTGAGGAGGTCACTGGATTTCTCAATTTGCCGATTCAGGGAACTGCCGTGATATTTTCATTAGAGTCTAACAAGGCCGAATTTTGTCATTTCACTGGGTTAAAGGAATCAGCAATACGAGGGTCGGACCAAAATATAGAGGTAAAGTTCTTATTTGATCGATTCGCATTAAGGGATGGGTTTGAGGGGCACCTAGGAGATTTCTCGTTCACTTCCAAGGAAATGTGGGAACGAAAGAGAGTTTGGGTGTATGGGTTGGTTATGGCTGAAACCTATGTTTTCCCTAGAAAAGACAAAAAGATAGCATTTAAACTCACTAAAATCTTGTATGACCTATTCCTAGGAGTAAAAGATAAGCAGTGTTCTATTATTCCGACTATTTTGGCCGATATCTTTGTAGCCTGCACTACCTGTTAGAGAGGGAAAAAGTTCTTTTGTGATTGAAATTGGATTTTACATGTATGGGGTATGGAGCACTTCATGAGACGATCGTCTATTCCTGAGAATCTACCAATGTCTACGTACAACTGGATAGTCATACATCACAAGAGAGTTAATAGAGATAGTCTGCCATGTAATGCATCTGAGTTTGTGGATTTCTTGAAGAATGTGACCGATCAAAATATTAGATGGGCACTGGATTGGACCAATTGTGTTAAACCTGTTCTTCGCACCCAAGTATCCGAATTTGTTCTCTTACTGGGTATCCAAGGAATCACTGCATACACCCCAAAGAGGTTTCTCTGACAGTTAGGGCGTTCCCAAGAAGTGCCGCCTGCACTTGATGTGAGTGAGCTTACTATCATTTTGAATGAAGAAATATGCCCAAGCCAATTCCCTATGAAAGATCGGATTATTGAAGCATGGGTGACATTATCTGATGACGAGTGTTTTAAATATGTTACGAAACTCCGGCAAAAGGGTTTGACGACTCCACAATACGAGAATTGGGTAAGAAGATCCGCTGCACAAGGACAACAAGATGAACCAGCCGAGAAGGTGAAAAAGTTGAAAGCCATTATCGAAGCAAGGGACATGGAAATTCTGCAGTTAAATAAGTCTGTCGAAACATACAAGGGAATAGCGGAGCAAAACAAGCAATTGTACGAAAATGAGCGAGAAAAGCGTCAAGACCTGAAAAGGAAATGCGGAGAATTGTATGATCAAGCTGAACATGTTAGAATTCCATATGCTAGAGAAACTAGGGATTCTGTATTAGATAGGCTCAGAAATTTTGGCAATCTTGTACGGAATCGTCTTCGTGACATGATGTAAATATGTTGGCAAGTTTATCAATGAAATCGATCTTTCTTTGCACTCATACAGGATTGTTGTCAAAAACAGGTTTGTGTAACGGGTCCCATTTTGAAGGTGTTGTATTATACTAGGCCTACCCTTGGTACAAAAAGGGCCCCCTAATAGGACATGCATCCGAATTTTTTGGATATTTACTAACTCTTATCTTTTTCCTTTTCTTTGTACTTTTTGTTGGAAAAGCTAAGCAAGGGCTAAATCTAAAGGCGATTCCTTTCAAAATTTTCAGGTAATATTTAAACATAGCTTCTCGTCGAAATCCCATCATAACACGATCCCGTAGTCAAACCCAGAGGAGTCGTGTAAACATGAGTTCACAGCCGGAACCGCCGGATAGGTCTGCTACTGTAGCTCAACCTAAGACTACGAGTTTAGGGGTTCAGCTAACCGAGATGCTTACTAAATTTGGTGAGATGGCTACCGAGATGGCAGCCCAAAGGAAATTGATTGATGAGCTTATCAGCAGTAGAGTTCAACCGGAGCCCGTACCCGTCAGACAACCTAAGCAAGAACCATTTGTCATACCTCCGACTCAAACAACCTCTACTCCATCCTTCCTTATTCCACCCGAAGAAACTTTCACCTATGCCACCACAAATTTGCTATACACTTACCCTCCTAATCCTTCATTTCTTTCTACTCACATGTGAGGTCCACACCCCCAAGACACTTCGAATATACGCCCTGAACCACATGCTTTTTATCACACTACTGCAGAGCCCTTATTGCCAGACCATACTGTCCAAGCTAAACTAGGGATAGGAGAATCTTCTGCTCCTGTTGATATGAAATTGCTCAAGCGCCTGGACCGTTTCGATGAGTTTATGAGAAAAAGTCAAGGGTTAAACAAGCAAGGAGTGCTGGACTATGATGAACTTTGTCTCTTCCCAAATGTGCAATTGCCTGTGGGGTTCAAGACCCCAAAGTTTAACAAGTACGATCGAACTGGCAATCCCAAAATGCACCTTGTCTGTTTGCTAACAAGTTGGGAAGGCCCATAAATGATGAGAATCTGCCTCTAAGGCTGTTCCCAAAAAGTCTGGAGGGGGATAACTCGATTGGTATTCCAACTTAAAACCTGAAGAAGTGAAGACCTGGGTTAACTTGTCTAATGCTTTCGTGAGGCAGTACGAGTACAACTGTGAGCTAGCTCCGACACGAACCACGTTGGAAGGAACAAAGAGAAAACCCTATGAGGACCACAAAACCTATGCTAAGAGATGGAGGAAAATAGTTGCAAAAGTCAACCCACCAATGATTGAAGACGAAATTATCCGCACTTTCATTAAGGCACATGATCCTCCGTACTCTGAAGAACTTTTCCGCATGACTGGATGCTCGTTTGCCGCTATTGTCAATAAGTTTGAAGAGTACAATGACTTCGTAAGAGTTGGGAAGATCGTTAATGTCCCTGCCCTCAAATCGCAGTTGGATGCTTTGCAAGGACAAGGGAGAAGTGGGAAAAAACCGCAATTTAAAAAGAAAGAGGGGGAAGTTGCCTTTATCTGGAATCAAAACCCTACACCAAGACCCAGATTTCAACATAAACCAACATATTCATCACCTTATCCCTACTATCCAAGTCCTCACCCTGTCTACAATACCAATATCCCCCATCCCCGACCTCATCCAAATGACGTCAACCCGCCTACGACCCCTTTTCAAATATCTCAACCAAATTTTCAACAAACTCGTCTATGTCCTACTTACAATCCGAGATTTCCCCCACCAAACAGACCCACCTATAACTATCCCCAACCCACTGACACCCACAATCAAAACCCTACCCGAACATTCACCAATCTAGACAGGCCTTTGGATCAATTGTATGAGCAATTGAAGGTTGCCGGCAAAATAGGCATGATTTCCCCTCCATCTTATCCTTATGGCATGCCGGTTGGGTACAATCCACATGCTACTTGTGCTTATCATTCAGGAGCACCTGGTCACGCCACTGCCAATTACCGACTCCTCAAACATAAAATTCAAGATATGCTCGAAACAGGGGAAATCGTGATTAGGAAGAGAGAAGAACAAAGCCCAAACATGAGCAAGAATCCTTTGCCAGAACACACTGATACTGTTAGAGTTATTATGAATAATAAGGAATTTGAAGAGCTTGTCCGAAGCATGTCAAATGAAACAAAAGTGTTCGGGATAATGGATCAACCTTTTGTAATAGAGGAAGCATCGTATGAGGAAGACAAAAAGCCCTTCATTTTAGATCTAACTCCATCCGAAAGTGCGGCTTTAGAACCTGTGGTAATTGAATTCCCGAAACAAGTGCCGGTTTTAAGTTTACGGCAAGTGCCGTGGAATTATAATGAACCCGTTTTGCAAATCGGGGGTAAACAAATTTTGAATGAAGAAGTGTCTGTTGTTACGAGGTCAGGAAAGATTGCAAGTTCTTCCACTGCTAGCGCCCCAGTCCAAGTAAGCAATTGTGAGCCGATTACCAAACCCACAGTTACCGAAAAGAAGCATGGGATTTTCTTAAAAGACTTAAGAGAAGCGAGTACAATGTGGTCGAACAGTTGAACAAAATGTCTGCCCAAATTTCCATGCTGGACTTGCTTTTCTCCTCAGACTTGCATAGGGATGCACTACTGGAAGTTTTGACTAAGGCTCAGATTCCCATAGATATTTTGATCGACAATTTCTCGCACATAGTTGGAAATGTATTGACTGCCAAGCAAATCACTTTTTCCGATGAAGAGCTGCCTGTGGAAGGAATTGGTCATAACAAAGCCTTATATGTAGCTGTGAGGTGCAATGGGAAAATGTTGGCTAAAGTACTGATTGACAATAGGTCTGCCCTCAATATTTGTCCCTGGAGCACTTTGGTGAAGTTAGGGCTGCAAGATGTCAAATTAAGACCCTCAGAGACCATAGTTTGAGGATTCAATGGAGCCCAAAGGGAGTCCATAGGAGAAGTAAATTTGGTAGTCGAAATGGAGCCCGCTCAATTTCAGATAATATACCAAGTTATGCATTTTCCCAGTGTCTATAATGTTTTACTTGGGCGGCCGTGGATTCATAGTTCTAGCGCTGTGCCCTCCTCCTTGTATCAAGTATTGAAATTTGTAGTGAGTGACCAGCTGATAACCATTTTTACTGAAGAAGATTGCATTGTAATTGTCGATTCCGAGCCTGAAGAGGATGGTAACCGAAATGCTTCAGTGTCTTCTTACCGTACAGCTGACATTGTCTCCGTGAGTTGGATAACAAGTGAGGATTCAAAAGACGAAATGGTTTTGCCAGCGGCTAGTGTTATGATGGCCAAGGAGATGATTCGCGGAGGATATGAATTTGATAAGGGATTGGGACGTAATCTACAAGGCATTCTGAAACCAGTGAAACTCATCGAGAAGAATGACCAGTTTGGTTTGGGATTCCGTCCGACTGCCAGAGATATAAAAGAAATGAAAGCACGCAAAAGGGCAGAAAAAGAAGAAAAGCAAGGTACTCTAGATATTCCACCACTACGCTATATTTTTCCAAGGCCGGCTGAGGTAATCACATCTGAGTTTAATCCAATTGACGAAGTGTAGACAAGCCTGACTCAGTTGTTTGTGAGAGCAATATCCGAAGATGGTCCATCAGATAATGCAGAATTTCCAGACATTTCCAAAGGAGCTATACACAACTAGGCTGCTGAGTACCTTCCTGTGCGAAAGGAGTTTCGGTAAATCTAAAGGGGGTTTGTTATTCACTAAAATTCATGAAAACGGTTTCTTGCATATATAAATAGTTTAATAAAAACGTCATTTGCAATTAGGCTTTTGTCTTGTTCTCGCTTTGATTTAAAGTTTTCATGAAATGCACAGTTTGTTTTTATCACGTTGCTCATTTGCTTGTTTATTTGCTTATTATCTTGATCTTCTTAATTCTTTCAGATGACCAAAAATAAAATTATTTGACCCTTTAGATATCACTGTTCTGGAATCCGATGATGACAATCTCTATATCACTCACAACTTGGAAATTATGGAATCCGAATTTCAAAACGAGAGTGATAATGAGGAAGTATTTGACTCTTGTTCAAAGGGTTTTGAACAATATGAAGAGAAATCTAAACCGAACCTAAAAGAAACAGAAATTGTTAACATTGGCACCGAGACTGAGGTTAAGGACTCATTTGAACGAAAGGCAAAAAAAGGAGATGATTGAATTTTTGTCTATGTTTCAAGATGTATTTGCATGTCTTATGACGATATGACTGGCATTTCGACCGATATAGTGGTGCACAGATTGCCTACAGACCCAACTTTTCCACCAGTGAAGCAAAGGCCCCATGAATTCAAACCAAACATGAGCCTCAAAATAAAAGAGCAAATTGAAAAGCAGCTTAAGACCAATATCATCATTGTATCTCATTACCCTGTTTGGCTCTCGAATCCAGTCCCTATTCCAAAGAAAAATGGAGAAGTGCGAGTTTGTGTTGATTATAGGGACCTTAATAAAGCCAGTCCTAAAGATGACTTTCCTTTGCCAAACATTCACATCATTCTGGACAACACTGCCGGACATGAAATTGAATCTTTTTATGATTGTTTTGCTGGATACCATCAGATCTTAATGGCCGAAGAGGATAGAGAAAAAACTACTTTCATTACCCCTTGTGGCACATTTTGCTATCAGTAATGCCATTTGGATTAAAGAATGCCGAAGCTACTTATCAAAGGACCATGACTACTTTGTTTCACGATATGATCCACCAGGAGATGGAGGTTATGTGGATGACATTATAATCAAATCCAAGAAAGCAGAAGACCATTTGATTGATCTAAGAAAGCTGTTTGAAAGGTTGCGAAAGTACAATTTGAAGCTAAATCGTGCGAAATGCGCCTTTGGAGCACCAGCTGGTAAACTATTGGGATTCATTGTCAGCAGAAAGGGCGTAGAGATAGACCCGGCAAAGATCAAGGCAATTTGAGACATGCCAGTGCCAAAAACGCAGAAAGATGTGAAAAGTTTCTTGAGAAAAATTAATTTCATTGGAAGATTCATTGCCCAATTAACCGCTACGTGCGAGCCACTATTCAAGTTGTTAAAAAAGAATGTGTCATTGCATTGGAATGAAGAGTGCCAACAAGCTTTTGACAAAATTAAGGATTATTTGCTGCATTCTCCAGTCCTAGTGCCACCCAAACCAGGCCAGCCTTTGATCATGTACTTATTGTCGCGCCCCATTTTTTGATAAATAAATAAATGGTTTTAAAATGTATTTTTTGATTCAATTTGTGATTGGAAAATGAATTGTGATTTAAAAGAAAAATGGGTCTAAATGGGGGTTTGAGAATGCGACGATTTGACCCAAAATTATAGTTTAAAAAGGGTTTTTGAAATAAAAAATCAAAGTCGCCACTTGGTAATGAGTTAAAGTGTACCAAGTCACCTAAAAATGAATTTTTAAAGAAAAAATAGAAAAAAGTAGTAAGAAACCCCTTTTAAACGACTCCTAGTCCACGTAAACCAACGAAAAAGGTTCGGGAGTCACATTTGACGAAGGGGAAGGCAAGGATAAAAATCCAAGGCACCCCTTCGACCTAGCCAAGGCTAGTTGCGTGATTTAATCAAAGATTTTCTTGTTTTAACCAAAGAATTTATTACATTTGGATGTACTACATGAATGCAAACCCTAGACCTAGGGGTATTGGGGGGGTAAAATTTCACTCCAAAGCTTGAGTGATGCCAATCACATAAATTGTGAAGCCAATAATGATCCTTTGGAGATGTCACACATAATCCTAAATGACGTAAAAATGAGTGAGATGAATGCATGCCATATGAAAATGTGAGTTTGTGTGAAGTGAAAAAGTGATAAAAACAAGAGTGTGTAAGTGGAAGTGTGCAAATGGATGTACAAGATAAGGTGAGTAAAGTAATAATGTGAAAATGTATGTGAGATAACATAAAGTGCATGTGTGCGAATGATATTATAAAGTGTAAGTAGTTGAGTGAAAACGTGCAAAATTAAAGTAGTGTGAAGTGAGAATGTGGAAAAAGGGTTAGAATATAAAGTAGAAGTGTATGTGAATGAGTAAAATGCATGAATCCTATAGGAATGCATCAAGACGGGAACGGGGAGTCCTAACTTTGTGACTTTAATTTTCCCTTCGATTAGAAGGGAGAACTAGCGTGCTAAGGCTATTTTGTAGCCACACTCGCTCGTTTCCCTTATCGAAAGAGGACTTTTCAAGCAAATGTACCCTATAACTAGCATGAGGTGCAAAAATCCTAAAGTGAGAGGGAAGGGATTAGAGGAGCATGCCAAATGATAAAACTAAGAAAAATGCATGAAATGTAGTGAACATGCAAGTATGCACTAATGAAAGGGGGATGGCCTATTGGGTCTAGCATTGGACTAGCCCTTTCTATGAATGAGCCACAACTAGCGTTGGACTAGTGTGGTGACGTACATTCATCCATCACATTCATCCATGGCTATAGAAAGCAAGTAGATATGCCAAACACTCATAAACACAGCACATAACACTTAGCATGCTCAACTAGATGCAAGAGTCTAATAAAGCAAATTAACACATAGCAACAAAAGCAAACAATCAAGCTAATGAACCTATTACATTTGCTAGCTAGGCACACGTCTTCAATAGGTCTTCATCAAGTGCTCTCCAAGCCCTATCTATTACAAGCCAAGAGGTGTACACATACCCCATTAAAAGAATAACTCAATAAAAGCAATAGTAAATGAAATAAAGGAACTAAAGAAAAGCAAGGAAAGCAAATTAGATATGCAATTATCACTTAGCACGTTGGATCACATAGGAGAGACAAAAAGGATAAAAGAAATTATACCTCCCTTGAGTTGATGCCTTAAATGGAGTGAAATCACTTATTTATCCTCCAAAATAAAAGAAATGGTCAAGGTACCAATTTATTTGGGAAAATTAAAGAAAATAGGCAAACACAAGCTCACTTGGTCATAAAGCCCTTAAAATTATGAATTAAAAGCAATTTAAACAAAGCAAGGTGGCTAATTGGATCAAACAAACAGTGAAGTTGCAAATATTAAAACTACCCAGGACCAAATTGATGAAATTATTCAATTGATTGGGTCCTAGTGGAACAAGAGGAGACTTGAGGGGTCAAAGTGCAATTTTAGAAAGTTATTTCATGCAAGTTTCATGCAAGCTACGTGGGGAAAGGCAAACTTCTGCAACATTTTTCCCTTAAGCCTTTAGCAGCCCAAAACAAACATCCGAACGCAGCTGGCTTTGAAAACCAATTCTTTGATCAAAATCATAGTGTGAAACTAGGCCACAAGGCCCATAATTTTAATCATCAAACACCAAAATTTGGTTGCGGGATTCAACAAGGAACTGGAATTGACCGAAAGGAAAAGCAAAAAAAATGCAGCAAAGTTTCAGCAAGCTAGGAAGCTTTCGGCAACCGAGAATGAATCAGGATTTTTTTCCAAGCATCAAAAGCTTTGGATTAAGGCAAAAACCACAACAATACTACAACTCAAACAATCAACAAACATAGAAAGAAACAATGCAAGCTCCTAAAATTTTATGCAGGCCTATGAACGAAACTGCTGCAACAACCTGCTGCATTTTCAGTTAGCCAAGAGTGATTGTGCGATGGGAAAGGAGAATGAACTAATGTGGGCTCGTGTGGACTTGGGATAGTGAGAAGGGAAAAATGCAGCTCTATGATCTAAGCAACATGACACACAATTCCAACATCCCAACAAACCAAAACATAGAAGGGAAATTGCGCAAAATGCTAGAGATTGGCTCGGTAAAATCCTGGTTCGTCCATTTTTCAGCAATTTGTCCGGTCATAGTTCAAGTGTTTAAAACCCAAATATGCAAGTTCAAACCAATCTTCCACTGCCCCCTTCCCACACAAAACTAACTAACAAAAATAG